TTCTGAATAATTAAAAAGTTAAGAATAAGGAAACTCAGTTTCCATGGGGGAAGGAGGTGGGGTGGAGGATAAAAAGTAGTTGATGTGGTAATTAAGAATTTGGTGGGATCCTGGGCAGGTCACCTCCTTTCTCAGATCAGAGCCCCATCAGAAATTCTTTCAAGTGTCCTTCTGCGTCGCCAAAGATGACAACAGCAAATCAATAAGTGCTTGAAATGAAAGGGGATGTTGGCTAGCCCCCAGGCTACAGATTTCCCGCCGCCAGCCTTTTCTGAACTCCTAGCGTGCCTTTGCACCGCCTCTCTTAAGAAGAACTACTTTTTATTCCTATCCTCAGGATGAAGGTAAGTGCTCAATTCGCATATCTATTAAATACCGACTCGGGTTCCAGGTCCGGGTCCGGCTCCAGCTATGCGCCGAGAGCGCGCTGCTTCGGCTCTTCTAATGCGCACACCCGGCAGAGGAAGAGAAGTCTGGTCTGGCTGCGGGCCCGGACCTACACCTCTTGGGCTAGCCCAGCTTCTCCCAGAGTTTATCGCTTCTGGTAGAGAGCTGCAAGGTCCAGGTAAAAGCAAAAGGCCTGAATGACCACAGCAATCACGGCGCTCCTTCCACTTAATTTATTTACAAACAAGAATAAAATCATGTACAATAGAGGTGAAGGGTCGATGTTCCGGAATTAAAGTTCGGAATCACTGTGTGGAATTTATTTCTGAATTACCGATATTGGTCTGTTACCCTTTCGATATTCATCCTTCCCGTAATACGTCTTGATTTAGCAATCTGTCCAACACTCAACATCCCCGGGACGTTTTAATTAGGTAATTCATTAGTGAGTCAATACAGACATTTATATATTCTTTTAGCTCAAGTGGTTAAGTACTAATTTCGAAATGATTATGAAACACCGGCATAAGCAACGCATGGCGATTTTAATTTATATGCAAATCAATTGGTTCGTCTTAAATGCTTTTTTTTTTTTTTTACAATTATTGTATTGTAGCATCGGAAGCACGGATCAAACGGCGTGAACAGACATTTCGAAAACAAGATCTGGCTGGAAAGAAAATTTAGGAAAGCCAACAAATCAATAATGTTTGAGGCAGTTAAACATCGCTAGCCATTGGTATTTACATACTCGCTTGTTGTCAGATAAGGAGCTGGGGAAATTGCTTGCCAGGGTTGAGATCATAATCCGAAGTGACGAAAGTAAATGGTAGTACGAGGCCGGCAGCGGGCTCTAAATAATACTGTACCTTTTCCAAACCCTGACTCTTGGGTGAAAAGGAATTGGCAGAAGTCACCCCAACCTTTCTCCTCAGTTTTGCCCTGCAGTTCTTCACCAAATTTTCTCTCCTCACAGAGCTTCGCAATTTGATTTTCGTTCTGACAGTTCTGTCACTTGCTTCAAAATATTGAAAAAGGAAGGCATAATTCAGAATCTCATGAAAAATCCCCTGAACACTTTAGCCAACCCAACTCCTCCTAAATATGTTTTAGGTTGTTATGTTGATCCCCTGTGACCCCTACAAATTAAAGCAGATAACTGAAGGCAGGAGTGACTGGGGTAAAACGGTCCAATGAATTTACTGGAAAGGTATTGCATCTTTAGATATAGTTTTAAATTTTGGGAAGGTGAAAAGGATGTACGCTTCGGGCACTATTTCTCCCCCAAATATTGTAGGTCTCATCAGGGATTACCAGGACATCCGTGCCCACAGCCTGCAGTTGTTTATGTAAAAGTGTAACATCCTTGAAATTCACAAATACATAAGGTCAGTGTCTCCCACCCCAGGCTCCCAGCCAGGAGATCTGGCCCTTAAAAAACTGGTACCTTTGATGCTACAATCTTGTTTACATCTGCAGTACATGGAATTGCTTGCTTTGCTTGGATGCTTCTCCCGCCCCCTTCTAATTTGAAATAATCGGAACCTAAATACAATCACCAAGATCCACTCTTCTTTTACTGCCTTGACGAGGGGAAAACCTGAAATCCACGTCTTAAATCAGCTCAGAGGTTTGTAGCCTCCCAGCACCCTATCTCCCCGCTGCATGCCTAATGTATTCCCTGGTGATTCTGGGCATTAATTAGTTGTTTAATAGGAGTATGACTAAAAATGTAAAAGAAGGATTAGGAGCGTGAAACGTATGTCCAGCTCCTTCCCCACACTAGAGGAGGGAATGAGAATCATTCTGTATCTTCTATTTCTCCAGGAGCCATTTGCATTTCCCACCAGCTGCTCACTTCAGCTGCACTGACGCTGAGCGAGGCAAGGACCCAAAAGTGGAGCGCGGTGTCTGCGGCGACTGGGACAGGGTTTAACCAGCCCTGGGCGGGCAAGACTCCAGACTGAGGAAGGTGAAAGGAACGTGAGCTTCCTGGAGCCCCTTTCACCTCAGCCCTGGTTTGCAAACCTTTGAATCCTGAAAAGGGAGGGAGGTTGCACGCTTGTATCTGCGCGTCTCTCCGGCTCTGCCCCTTTTTCTTTTCCCTGTTCTCTCTGCGCGTCTCTGGACCTTCCTGTCTGATTTTCTCTCTTTTCTCATATTCCTGGGAGAGATTCTCCCATCCTTGCTACCAACTGAAGACCAGGCCTTTCTCCCAGCGCGTCTCTTAATCTCTATAAAATGAAAAGAAAAAAGGGAGAAAACATTAAGCCATTTACCATGGAGTAGGGAAATAGCAAAAATCTAGCTTAAACGTCGCTTTCTCAAACTACATTTTCCGGTATGTTGCCACTTATAAGTTCATTTAAAGGATTTGCTGAAGACGTTTTATTGTCTTGCTTTGGCAAGATTTTCAGAAACCCGAAATAAAAATTTTCAGAGTCAGAAGGGGAAACAAAAATAAAAACAGCACATAGCATTTCCCCTCACTTCTCTCCCTTTAAGTAAACTCTTTTTAGTTTCCAAACGGTAAAGAGAGAAAGTTTGGGTTTTCACAGATGTTAGGTCGAGGTTAGAAATGGCTTTAAAATGTGTATATCCCGTCAGTTTTCTCCGTGGCTGAAGAGGCTAACCCTTTCCACAAAATGAGTCCATCTGTCGACTGTTAGCTATTTCAAAGTAAAGGGATTTAGCACTCAAAACAAATTGAGCAAGTTTGTTTGCCTGTTTTTACTGCTAACTCAAATGAATTCAAAACACGTAGTAATTCAAGAAAACACAAAACATATTCCAGACAGCCCCCGAATATAAGGAAAACCCTGCACCTATGTAATCTTTAAACACCAGCCGTTTCTGTGTGTAATGTATATATTTCATACATGCTTAACAACATTACCCGTTGCATTTTTTTAAAATCGCGTGAACTGGTAAATTTATTTAGAAAGAGCAAGACAACTTTTAGAGAAAACGGTATTCTCTACCAACCGGGAGGGCTCCTTGATGACTGGCCCAGCTGAGTTTTGCGCCCTTGCAGGGGTTTTATTGGTGGGAAAGCCCGAACTGACCAGCTATGGTTCTTTCCCGACACTTCCCCCCAAACATACATTAGCAAGACGCCCGTGAGATTGAAAGAACTTTGTCCAAGATGTCTGGCAGAAGCCTTCGCACCTGGTCCTGCAGACGAAGCATATTTATAGACTTTCCACTCAAAGGCAGAACCCAGCAAAAAAATCGCTACCAAAATACTCGCCCTTGGTCAGTCAAGAAATCGGAAAATCAGGGTTCACAAGTGGGGCTCACGTTTTGGGTGAAATTTTCCTCTTTTAACATTACATGCTCTTGGCTTTTTAGGAGGAAATGTGAATTTGAGAGACGCTTTCCCACCACCACCACCACCCCCATCCATGCAATTTAATACCATCCTCACCAGGAACCTTAACCTCGTCATTTTAAAAAATGAGATATCCGTGACCCGGGGTGAACTTGTAGGGTGTAGGTACAGCAGAGGAAATTCTAGACTCTATGAGCGCGCGAGTCTTGTTCAGCGCAATCCCTTAGTGCACACTGGTCAGTGCAGGGCCGTGACCACCTGCGCGCGCAGGCCCGGAGCGGGAGCCTGGTCCACTCGCCTTTGACCTCGGACGCCCAGTCACGGCCTCACTGGGTCGAGCGCAAGCCCTTCCTCTGACTCGTGGGGGAGGTCCTCTTGGACTAGCCTGTATACTTGCGGACTGTTAACCCACCAACACTTTCCACCCTCTCGCTCACTCCACTTTTCCAGATTTCTCCTCAGTCAACCTCACTCACCCCTACTCCGCCCACCCCCAATCCCTCCTCCAGTCCGTCCTTCACTTTTCCCTGAAGTCCCTGGAGCTGTGACCTCACAGGAGTCACACGCGCGCGCGAACACACACACACACACACACACACACACTCCATATGCCTCACCCTAAATGAGCCCACGCACACTGTCCTTTGTTCCATTTTAGGGGTCACTTTCCTTGCCCCTTCCTCCTAACCCGTCCACTTTTGCCTCCCAGGAGTATGTTTCTGTCTCCCCTACGCCTGGGGTTTTCCCTTTTGAGTCGCTTCTGGTTTTATATATATATATATATACATGTATATACAAGTACATATATATATGTGAAAAGATATACGCATGAAAAAATATATAATTATATATATTTCATTTCCTCCCCTCCTGTCCTTTCCACACTGGTATTGCGTGCGCCTGGCGCTCCGTCGCCTCCAGTCTAAGCGTCCTGCTGGGCTCCCACTCGGACCTGCGCCCTCCCGGACTCTTCCTCTGTTTCCCGGTTCTTCGGCCCGCGGGCCTCTGCCTCCCTCCACTACCTCGCTTTCCGCGGGCCCTCCCTCCCTAGGTTCGCTCTTCACGGTCTTAGGAGCTCCACAATATCCCCAGCCCCTCGCTTTCGCCGGAGCGCGGCGCTTGTCCCGTGCTCGCCCGCGGCACAGCCGGACTCGGCGGTCCGCCTGCCCGCCAGCCACTGTGCGGTAGAGTTTGGTGGAATCTCTGCTGACGTCACGTCACTCCTCACACGCAGTCAGAGCTCTGAGAAGGGAGAGAGGGAGGGAGGGGAGAGAGAGAGTGGGCGAGACTGAGCGAGAAAGCTGGAGAGGAGCAGAGAGAAACTGCCAGTGACTGCTAGATTTCGGAGTCCGCCGCGCCACAGTACACTGTCTCGGAACTTGGCACCCTTGGGAACCCTGCAGCCCTCTCGGGCCCTGTTTTCGGGCTCTTGCAGTACAACCCGCGCCTCGGCTCGCTGGAAATCTCTCAGAGAAGCGGTGGGACGCGGAGACAACAGCTTTCTCCCGGTAGCGGGTAAGTGGAGGCCGTCTCTCCCGCAGGGATGTGAGATAATGCGAGTCTGGAAATTTGTTCCACTTTGGAAAATCTTCACCGTGGGTGATTTGTGGCTCTGGGAGCTGCGGTTTCTCCAAGTAAGCGCAGTTAGCAAACAGACCATGCAACACAGTGTTCCCTTCGTCCCCAGTCACACATACTAACACCTACGGGGTCCTGGAGTCTAGTGGGAAGCGAGACTATGGCTGGCATTGAAAACAAGGTATCTTCCCTTAAATCTCGGTGCCAACAATATGGGAAAAATCCTTAGGCCGAGGATTAGCATTCTCAAGATAAAGGGCCTGTTACAAAGTTTCGGCTACTGGAAGATTAGCTCCTTTGCATTGTTACCCATTGGGAAAAAGAGATTCCATCTTAACCGGCAGTTAGTGACCTCTCGGGCCCAAGCGAATTACCTGGAGCCAGGCCTCAATGCCAAGCGCGCACAATTACTTTGGATTATAAATCCTTTAAATTGACCAACAGTAATTCCAATCTTGCACTTCCACTTCGGGAGATACATTTTGAATGAGTGCAAGGGGGAAAAAATACTTTCCAACTGGCAACTAAGAAAAAAAATGGGATTCTAAACCTGAGATATTTGTTCCTCTTTCTATCACAATTTACTACCTTAATTTACTAGCTTAGAAATCAAGCCATCATAGTGTCATTTCACTCTCTCTTGTGTGATCATTATATCTTAATAAATAAAACTAAATTGGGGAAAAAAAAACCTTTCCCTATTATAGATTTAAACGACAGAGGAACTCATATTCTAAAACCTTTTTTTCTTCAAAAAAAAAATCTGATTTAGAGATATTTTCATGTATTCTTTCTAGGCCATTAATAAGAATTAATTATTATTTTATCACACAAAATTTTATATTGGAGGGGGAAGAAATCACCTGAAATTCAAATATTAATAATGGCAAGAAAATAAAGCACTTTAAAAGACTAGATTGGGAATATTTGTTGATGTAATACAAAATTAGCATAGCGGGTATCAGAAATCAAACCTTTCAGAAAATTAAAAAGCTTCTTCATTTATGGAATGTTTCACCTCAACAAAACTATGCTTAAATTATTCAGGTGCTTTGTTCCTTAAATTGAGTACGGTTTACCTTCAAAAGGTCCTAAAGCATCAATATGAATTGGCTTTTAAAAAAGTCTGAAACATGGTACAATACAAAACTACATTAAGTAGTATTTTTAATTTCTTTAAATGATTACCCACTGCAAATTAATTTACTGGCTAATCTCACCAATTTAGTTCATTTAAAACATATGTTGTTGTGCTGTTTATTTTTAAGCTTTCCATTGAAGATTTTGTTCTGGGATAATAAAGTGAATGGGAAAAGTAGAAACATGAAGGATTTAGAATTCTTAAATTTGTATATGTTTTTCTACCATGCTATTCTTAGGGCAATCATCAGAAGTCATTTTTAAGCGAATTGTTTTATTTCTTGGACTTGGACTGCCTGCCCTGGCCACTGTGGCTCAGGGTGCTTCTGTAATTGTTTAGTGCTTTTTAGCCAGTTCACAATTTAAAGCTCAAGTTGGTCAAAACAAGTTTATCATATATATTTATATATCATATATACATCTCTATATATTTACACACATACATATACACATATATATGTATATTCATTCTAACCAAGACATGAACTCTTGGAGTTGAGAACAACTCCCCATCAGGAAAAGTTGTGCATCTCAATTTGTGGGATCAATTAGCTGTCGAAGCCCGTCTAGAAGTCAGGCAGCCAAATTTGTCACACAAGATTTGTCTTGACAGGGCAAATTTAAGGGTCGTCAGGCAGGAATTGGAGGTGTCTTTTAAAAATTATCTCCCCAAGTTATTTAGACTCAGTTCATCTACTAGGCCAGGTCATTATATGGGGCATAAAATGCCGGTCTGAGGGCTCCTTTTGACTGCAAAATAAATCCTGGAGTCACAAGGACACCTAGGAGTTAGCTAAAGAACACGCCTTGACCTTCTTTTCAATCCTTAGAGCGGAGCCCTCTGAGTTTTTGAATATTTGTTTGGTATTGCTTTGTTTAGTCTTCAGCGTTCAAGCATTGGAGGTGGAGGAAGAATGTGTAATAATCGACTGACTTTACAACCAGCGATCCAATCTTTTTCTTTTGTATACTTCATTCTTTTAGAAAATAAAAACAATTTGCAGACACCATCTGCAACGCTTCGGTCACCGTCTAATAACACAGCCAGTTTGGATATTTAAAAAAAAAAAAAAAAAAGATTATAGAAATGATGATGACATGCAAATTTCCCTTGAAATTATCATAAGTAAACATTTGAAGTCTGGACTAATAAAATCCCATCTGTGTTACTTCATATCGAGTTAGTAGAGAGCTGCGATAATGAATTTTGTAATATCTCACGAACAGACATCTCAATCAGGGACTAATCCTGTGATTTTACTGCAGAATCACTAAATCTGGAGCCGCCAAACTGCTACTTCTGGCCCCTGAGCCGGAAAAGAGCCGCAGAGCCCCCGCCCGAGTCCCCACTAGCAAACGGGGGAACCTCTCCGTCGTCCCCACACTAGGATCCCCCAGGCCGCAGCTCCAGGCAGCAACCTTGGCCTGGGGCTCACGGCGCCCAGCTTACTCCTGCAGAGGACAAGTTGCAGGGACACGCGACTCAGGCCAGTGCCGGGTCCCCAGCTCCCTGCCCTCCTGTCTCTCCACCATCCGGCAACGCCCGCTGGCAGCCCCAGCCACCGCCCCGGGCAAAGTGGGCCATCCCGCCGCCGGCGTACCCTGGTTGGCGTGGAAAGAGGCAGTTGCAGAGATCCAAAGGGAGCCCAGGCATCGTCTTTCTTTTCTTCTGTATTTAAAGCAGCCGCGGCGGCTCCTCTAAAACCCCGCCGAGCCCCTCGCCACCCACCTCTCCTATTTTGCCTGTGGCGGAGAAAGAGGAGCACGTTAAACGCTTGGCTCGATGAGTTGTGGTTGGAAATTTGAAAAAGATTTGGCTTGCCGAAGAAGGGAAGGGGGAGAAGTGGAGGAGTCGTTCTCCCAAGGCGATTTCTCCGTCTTTGGCGGGCAGTGAACCCTCAGGGGACGTTTGCCCTACCCTCCCAAGTCTTACTTCGTCCTTCCCATCTCTTCTTCCTCTGTGATCTTAAATCATGCTTTAGGGTAAATAAATGGCCGGGTGAGTATCTCTAGGGAAAAGCGTGGCTAAATATGGAAAAGTGGCTCCTGATGGATGAGAGGCCCTAAGCCAGCTTGCTCCTAGAGCACCCTAGGCCCAAAGCCTTAAAATCCCCCTCGTTTCGGAAATACCGTGCGGAAACGGTGGGAGGTGGTAGGAGGTAGTGGGGGACGGTACAGAGGGACGACTGTCTCGGCTGGTGAAGTTGGTCCTAATATTCTACAAATGCTAACTGAACTCCAAAGAACGGACGGACAAACACTGTGCTGAATGGTAGCTTCCGCATACAATACCCCAAACTTTGTCTGTTAAGATTGTCCTCATATTCAGATGGGCTCCTAACCCCGACCCAAACCTTCTTGTAAATAGATCCACAGTCTAGTCCCCAGAATATGGTGGTTTTAAAGGCCTGTCGCCCCTGTCCCATTTGTGCAACTCTTGAGGAAGAGCCCCCTCTTGGTAAACAAGCATCAGGGATAGGAGTGGGGATGCTGTCAGGTTCAAGAAATATGCCTGAACTCTGGCACAAAGTTAAAGCTTAACAGCTAGTGTTCAAGTTGTTCACCGCCGCTGGTTCTCATATCTCTCATCTTTTGTGTTTTGCAGATAACGGGGAATGGAGACCAACTGCCGCAAACTAGTGTCGGCGTGTGTGCAACTAGGTAAGAACCCGCTTCTGCTGCCCGGGTCAACTGACGGGAGGCCGCGCCACAGAAGGGCAGTGAGAGGGCACCCTTGCCGTGGTAAGGTCCCAGCCAGGGGCGCTTCCAGGAGTAGTCAGCCTGGGCAGGACGGAAATCAGAACCAGAGCGCAGGTTGTCTCTCCCCGCCGGGATGGACAGTGAATAGGGAGGGAACGACGCAGCGCATCCTGCAGCCAGAGGCCTGTTTCCAAGGGCAGGAGCCGCGGGGGGCCTGGAAGGCGCGCAGAGTGTACGCCTCCCAGCGCCAGGTTGCCAGAGGGTCCAACAGACAGGAACGCCCTCGGTTCCTTGCTGTAACTGGGTCTCTACTCTTTGTCCCTCTTTCCTCTACGTCCTACGTCGTCTCCCTCCCGTCCTCTCCTTCCTCACCTCTCCTCCCCCTCTCCCGTCCGCCACTGTCGGGGCATCTGTCTCCCTCCCACGTGGGGCGGCGCGCGCGGCCCAGGCGTGCAGCCGGCAACCCTTGAGTGCCTCTTCTCCAAAGACTCCGAAATCAGAAAGGTCGAGTTCACGGACTCTCCCGAGAGCAGGAAAGAGGCGGCCAGCAGCAAGCTGTTCCCTCTGCAGCATCCCGGCGCCAATGGTAAGGCCGGGAGGGAGGCGCAGGCCGCGCGCTGAGCACCCTCCTCCGGGCCTCTGGGCCTTGAATGAGGCGTACGCCAGCGAGACCGCCAAGCGGGCCGCGCCTGCTGCCTGAATGTAGACAATTGGCCTCTGGGTGGCACGAAAGCAGCGGTCCCAAGGACATTTACTCCTTTCCCCAAATTATACTGTACTCCCAACACCTCTCCTTCTCTCTTCTCGCTCTCTTCCTAAGGCCTGATCTTACGCACTCCCAAACCTACGTCCGCGCCTCTAGGTAGCGAGGAAAAGTGGTCCAACAGCGACCTCTGTCGCTCGCCGTGTCCCACCGCTCGCCGCACCACCAGGCCCCACCCCGGCCCGGCGACAGTCAGCTGTGCCCCGCCCAGGCCAGTGGGTTCTGGGTTTGTCGCGGGAATGGAGCATAGGAGACTTGGGTAGGCGAAAATTCGCCTGGGTGAAGGGGGAGAAGGCGGGGAGTGTGTGTGGAGAGCCCGAGGGCAGCGACTGCACTGCAGCCTAGGATGGAATGGAGTGCGCTTCCTTCCTGACCCCACCCGTGAGGCGTCGACGCGAGTCTACCTGTTGTGCTAGTGGCCAGGGCTCGGATTTTGCTGGTGTTGTGGCATGATTGGCTAGTTTCACGCTACTCGAGTCAATGGACATTTCTACTCAAAGTCTGAAGACTTGTGTAAAAAGTTCAAACTTCTCTAGCCTTTGCTGAAATGAAACTTGCCCGTGTGTGTGTGTGTGTGTGTGTGTGTGTGTGTGTGTGTGTGTGTGTAGGAGATGGGGAGACAACCCTTCCTTTGCAAAACATGGACAATTCAAATTTACTCTTCCTCAATTCTCCTGCTTTGTCAGGCTCTGTAATAAAGAAGTGCCAAGCCTTAGGAGGTTGTTGACCTTTGATAGAGTGAGGAGATAAAGCCCCCCACAGCTTTCAGTCCCTAACCTTCTCTTTCCGGATTAAAGTATAAGGATACAAAAGTAGAGTGCACCCCAGACGGAGAAATTGGGACCCCCTGCAAGTAAACAAAACTGTGAATTGCTCAGAAGAAAATAAGGCATTTGAGCTTCCCCGTAAATCTGAGAGGATAGCACCTATTATCGAAATACACGTCTAAAGCAGTCTGGTGCAGAACTGCCCTACAATGCGCAGTATCTTGAGTCCTCCTGTTCAGCCAGTTAAATGCTCACTTGTCGGGGATTAACCCCATGGGGTTAAATGGGGGCAATGCAGAGATAAGGTCAGGTGATTTCTGTCATTAAGATTGTGTTAAATTCTTCTTTTGTTTGATAAACAGTTGTAAAAATAAATTATTAGACTGGAGTATGTTTGGGATATGGTTAAAAATCCAGAGCAGCCGTGATTCCTGGAGAAAATGCTTGAGGAAAGTTCCCCAATCTCGCTTCGCACGAAGCGGGTATTGTGGCGAAGCTGACTTTCTCGCTGCCCAAGGATCTCAAGAGACACTAAACGTCTCCTTCAAGTCCTCCACCCCACCCAAGGTTTTCTTCACTTGGGATTTGAGGACAGGTAGTCTCCAAGCGACTTGAGGAAGGCAGGGTCCCTGTGAGGAGAAACCTAGGGTAGGGCGGATACCTCTAAGTGGGCAAGAGGCAGCTAGAAGCCAAGTAGTCACGTCCCTGCCAGTCACCAGGTGGGCGGGCGCCCCATGGCACTCGTTTTTGTTTTTTTGTTTTTGACAATTAGCAAATAAAAAAAGAACTAATAATAATTTATTATTGTTTTCTTAACCATTACATTCCAGCAGGAATATTTTAGTGCGTATGAAAGGCTCTTCCCCGGCAATGCCAATACAGAATGGGAAATTGCTACCCATATAATACTTAATGTCATTAATTAAGAAGAGACATTTGATAGGAAGACATAATGAAAAATCTTGATTTTATTGGCTTTTAGTGAACTTAATATAATAAAACTGTCACAAATGAGTGGGTAAAAAAGTTCTTGCATACCTTAAAGAAGGTTGCCAGAGTCTCCCTTAATTTATGAGAGATGCAAATTCCGAGCCACAGCCCGCTTTAAGAAGAGAAGGATTTACATTTTTTCTACAGTTTTAAAAACAAACAAGAACCAAATACAAAACATTTACAATGGCATGCACTAGTTCTAACTGGTGCCGTGCTGTAGGATCAGCACTGGACTGCGAACCACAAGGTCAAACTCACCAGCTGCTCCTTGGAAACCCCATACAGGGTCTCTATGAGTCCGAATGGACTCGAAGGCACTTCACAGCAACAACAAGAATGGTATTTAATTTTCCGTATTCTTCCTTCCAACCCACACATTTTCAGGAAAACCACACACAATTGTTCTTTTCTGATTCAGGGTGACTCCACGTGTGTCACAGCAGAACTGCACTTCATAAGAGTTTTCAATTGCAGATTTTTCAGAACTAGATTGCCAGACTTATCTTTCAAGTGCCTCTCACACTGGAACCTCTAACCTTTGGTACTATCCTCCTTAAACCCTGAGGAGGCAGCTTTGGCCAGTGATTTGACGTCTCATCTCAACCTAAGCAAGTCCCCTTCCCTGTGACATCCATTGGATGGTTCCTCAGCTTGACTGCAAGCCTAAAACGGTATGGGCATGAGGGTGGCTAGACTTTAAGGCCAGCGTTTGAGAAAAGCTAGACAGGAAAGGCAAAAGCAGAAAGAGTTGTCAAGCAACTACTCCTTAGGAAGAAGGGACTGAGACCCACAGAGAAGGTCCCCCTAGACAGAGACCCTTGTTTTTTGGGGGGTTTTTTGTTTTTTCATTACATTGGGGGTTCCCAGAAGACCCTCCGTTTTGCGGATCTCACAAAGTGGTCTTGACCTTCAGTAAAGGAACTGACCTTTTCCAGTCAACGACCCAGAAAGTTTTAGGGCGGTGGCACTATACTTGGGTCTGAAATCGGACCTGCTACTGCCTCTTGGCCCTGGTTCCTAGCTCCACATCCCGATGTGGACTGGGTACCTTCCCTCAACCTCCCATTAATTTTTCAATAGCTTTGGCAGAATAGAAGAGCAGAAAGTATTTGACTCAGGTTTGTGATGGGAACAGACATCGTCTCTCCAGGAAGGGAGCCCCTACCAGAGCCCAGGCTATAGTCAGACCCCAAACCAGCTTGGTTCCAGGCCTCTTCAGAAACCCAGGTCAATCGTGGTCTCCATGGCTGCCACGGACCGCTATTTATTCAATCACAAAATGTGATAGAACATACTATGTGGAATCTAATGCACCCTCTAACAACAAGTAATTGGGGTTACCTCAGTTATAAAGTTAATTTAAAGCTAGAGACTGAGAGCAGTCCAGATGATCTCTTTGTTGAGTGCCTACGAGGTGATTCCAACTCAGCAGCCCTGTATAGTGTTTCCGAGGCTATAAATCTTTGCGGTAGCAGAAAGCCTCATCTTTCTCCTTCGGAGTAGTTCGTGGACTTGAACTGTCGACCTGTGGTTAGTAGTTCAGTGTTTATCCTACAAAGCTGCAGTCTCTAGCAAAACGTAAAATGGTGTAGAAAGACGGACACATTTAAAAGGAAGAAGAAAGACCAAAGAAAGAAAAATAAACAAATTTGCATTTTCTTTTATTCTACACCTTCCACACTCACCATATCTAGTGTATTGGCCCAAGCTGCCGCTCCCGTATTTGTAGTTTTTTTTTCCCTACCAGGGAAAATTTTACCAATTGTCTAAAGCTAGTCGTTCCCTGTGGATCCCTCCCGCCGAGGTGGTCTTTATGCTATGTGTTCCTTGCCACTGAAATGTTACACACTCAAAGTTTCTTAAGGCTGGTTTAGCTGTTACTCCGCACCGCCCGCTGTTAATATATCCAGCAGTTGTTAGAGCGACTCCGGGGAAAAGGAAATGTATAACGAAAGCTTATTCGTGAGTAGGAATATACTAATGGAACAATCTGATGTCTTCTTAATCCTATGTAAAAAGCTTTGTCGTCTTCCTAATATTGACTGAATGGGTAATTAATGGCTCTTCATCTAGACGAATACCCTGTAATCCAAGATAGTCAAAAGACAACAAGCCCAAGGTAGAAGACAAAAGGCCCAACTGAGGTCGCTCCCCCATTCACCCAAACCCATCAGTCAGGGTCTCAAGGGTGTGCAAAGTTTCCTCTCAGAGATAAAAAAGCAAGAAATGTGACAATACCCTTACAGTTCCTGGGTTAAACTTAACCACAGCACCTTAGAGCAAGCTTCAGTTTTCCACTTTCCCCCACCAGTCTTATCTCTGCATTTGTTTCTTCTTAACTCCTTTAGGGTCTGTCAGCATTATAACCATGGTCCGCACCTTTCCCCACCTTTCATTTAGGGAAGTACTTGATAACAGACATTCAATATATATTGTCC